GTTGGATTCCATCTTTCAATTTGTGCCCTTCATCCCCCCTTCCAATCTTCCCCCCATCATTCATTCAGCTTTTCCCCATCCTCCTCTCCCCTTGTCCTGTGTCTATCACCGCCTTCTTCCCAACCTTCTCCGCCCCTTTCTCCACTTCGTTGTCCTCTTCAATCGCCCGCTCCTCCACTACTCGTTCGGCCCCCCTAACGATCTGGAAGATCCTTCTTTTGCTACGTCTGTTGCTCTTTCTCCCTTTAACCACCAGTACTCGGCCCAGCTATCGGAAAAAAGTAGAGTAGAAACGTTTCTAGTCGGCTGAATTTGGGCGGTCCTGTAGTCGCTCGTACATTTCCTAAAATTGTGGCGCGTTAACCGGCACGACCCTAGGAAGTACTGGTGGTTTAATTGCCGTCCTCCATCACCTGCATATGCACATTTACCCTATGTCTTTAGTGATTCAAGTCCGTCGTCATTGTCCTGCTTTCTTCTTTCCTCACCACCTGTTCGTCCCCCTCGGTGCTGACGACCTCTCACTGCCTTCCAGTATCTTCTCCTCCACCTTGTCTGTATCCCCCTCCCCAACCCCCACCAGTGTTAGTGCTGCTGGTAAGAGCAGACACCACTAACACCTGGGGAGAGGCTCCATCTATTAGTGGGGAGCGTCACCTGCTGGAAACGGGTCCATCGTCCCTTGAAAGAAAACATCTTGAGGAGGTGAAAAACAGTGTGAAGTCTGCCAGCATTGATTACGCTGCACCGCAGGGGATTGTTGCCTTGGCAACCTTTCTCCTGCACTTCATCAATTTCTACATCCTCACCCTGATTGGGTGACATTCCGACCTTCACCTCCCTTTGATCCCGCATTCTGATCAGCTCCCTCCCAATCGACGCTCCCATTCCCTTCTTCAAAATTGGATACCCAATGTACATTCTCGCTCCATTTACTTCTCAAGGATCCTCCTTGACATTTTGTCCCTCCACAACCTCCTCGACACTGGCAATCTCACCTCAGATGCCTCAGCCAATCCCGGCGACTACTTCCTCTGTTGAGGCATACCCATCCTGACTGACCAAATCCTGGCAGTCTCATCCTCCTGATCCCACATCCTGACCCTGTCCCTTCATCCTTCTCCTGCTACTCCAGCCCCAAAGATTTCAATGTCGACCTTCTCCTCTCACTGTTCCTCACATTTCACGGTGCAGACCTCACAACTTCTCCTCCCTGCCTGACGAGGCACCTGACCTACCCTAGAGCTCCTTCCTCTGCCTCTCCACATTCACAGCACGATCTGCACCTAGGCCTGATGATAATGGCCGTGCACAAACTCTTGTCCTGCTGGCAACACCACCACAAATGATGGAATTGCATCACCAAACAAATGGGCAGAAGGACGGAGGCCAGTCGAGATGCAGGGAGAAAGGGAGGGAAGGAGAGAGAGGGAGGATGCATTTAGCCCTGCCATCTCGTTCTTGGGCCGAGTGTGAGCGGAACTCCCCACCTCTTCATGCACACCATTGCTGAGAGAGAGGGAGGGAAAGACGGAGGGCGGGCGGAAGGGAGGAAGGGAGGGAGGAGGGGGGGGAGGAGAGAGAGAGAGAGAGAGAGAGAGAGAGAGAGAGAGAGAGAGAGAGAGAGAGAGAGAGAGAGAGAGA